TCGTGCGATCGGACGGAAGGACAGGCGGGCGGAAAATTGTAAATCAATTCAGAATTTTACGCTGAGCAAGAATATGTTTATACATGACGACTCCTTCAAGTGATATACTAAAGTTAATATACCTTTTACTAAGGTGCAGAGTATAAAAATATATCAATTACTCTTTTATTATTATTCATGATAAATCAGTGATTCTAAAAAGATGCTTAAACAGCTTTAATTAAACATTCAAATAATTTTAAAATAAATATAGTAAATAGCTTGAACGCTTATAAAGATTCCTTTGCCTTATTGAATATTTTCTTAATTTTTGAAAAGATTTATTAATGATATCATAAAGCTTTAATTATCAATTTAAATTTAACAAAATTTGATTGTGTGCGTCATTAAGTACTAAATTTAAAATAGACAGATAAATTCAAGATAGTAGATCTTCCTTTGTTAAAATCTATTAAATTTCTTAATTAATCTAATGTCCAATTTAGAGGCACTCTTAAAAATAGGAAAAATATAAGAGAACTTCGAGTCATCGAGAAAAATACCTTCGTTTAAAAATCTACTAAAATTATGAGCAAAGTCTCCGAGAGTTTAGTAATACATTTTTTCAAGACAAAATTCAGTGTCGACTAGGGCCAGCACATAAATTAAGATCAGATTGACAAATTTTATTGAAAATGTCACTGTATATAAATTCTGAAAAGTGTTGTTTTATGCTTAAATTTCTTTAATTGTGTGGTTTTTTCGCGAAAGTAAGAAGGTTTTTATTATACCAATGCGAATATATCTTATGTTGCTTTTCATTGCAATAAATTCAGAGATACCTTAAAATAAAGCCTGAAAAAATAACTTTATAAAAATTTTTCAAATTAATCACATCATTTCATAGCAGTTAATATGAGATAAATAATTATTGAAAGAGGAAAAATTACAAAATTTAAAATAGAGCAGACTTAGCTGGTAAATCAATATAGCAGGATAATAGATTTCTAATCCCAAAGCTTTATGCTCAAGTTAACCATGTGTAAAAATACTTCATTTCTTTATTTATTAAAAAAAAAAAAACAAGAATTTTGTCCCAACGCTGCCATATGTTGTATTTTTAACGGAAAATCTTCCTGTATTTCTGTAAATGTTATTATTAAATTATTTTCGCCTGGAAGCATGCAATTTTTTATAAAAAATATTTTCTTTCAATTTTATTTATAACCAAAGAATTAAAGCAAAAATCTATCTGTGGTCATAGCATATTTAAAAAAAAATGTAAAAAATTTAATTTTATGAATCCATGTGCCTATAAGTTCATAAGTGTTATTTTTATTATGTAATATTTAGCTACATACATACATATATGAAAAATATATTACCTTGAATTTCAACACTTTTCCATTAGGTTTTTGTTTAAAAATTTAATAAACATTACTTTCGAAATGGAATTTTTACTTTCATTTTACTTTATTTTTTTTTTATTTTCCATGCATTTGTTTTTCTTCATCAAAATAATTCACTTATACAAAGTAATATAACAATCAGAAAGGAAAAAACTTTTAATGGCCTGTGAAAGTTTTTATCAACATGATAAAATAAAAAAAAAAGACGAATGTTTGTAATAAAGTAACACAGACACCATTAAAAGTAAAAATTAATTCGAAATACTTCAATTTACATATGAAATAAAAGTTTTCAGGCAAATTGACTTAATAGTAACAACTTGAACCTATATGATAAAGTTTTGGTATATAAAAGTATGGTTATGAATAAGAATTAGGTTCCTATGTGTACTATAAAATTTCTGTAATTTGTTACCTTACAAAAATTTTATTATAATTATTTGCTTCCGACACTCTTCAAACCTGATTTTTTAGTTTCATTGACCATTTCCATTCCTATAACAGCCAAAAACAAAATTTACCGACAAAATCCTCTTCAACAGTAATTTAGAATGTAACAGGAACATTTTACTATCCAGTTTGAAAGAGCGCAATAGTTGAATGCCAGAAATATTTTTTACCTAAAAACTTTGAATGAAATTTTATGACAAGAATTAGAAAAATGTGATTGATTTGAAAAGTTCAATTTCAAGAAATTTCTTAAAAATTACTCCAATCATTATAATACTCGTATCCGGCATAATAATTTATGAGACAATTTTAGAAATTTTTTAGTACATATACTCGAAATCCGGACGTCACCTTTTAAAAGTTGTAAAATTTTATTATTAAAATCTTTAAATGTTAACAAATCGGCTGAACGTAAGAAGTGGCGGCTGAACACCGTCGGTAAATCAAATCAGTAAATAACCTAAAAAAAAACTTTTAAAAATTAAAAAGTTCTGTAAGGCTTTTATCATTTGATAACTTTGATAAAATATTCTTTAATAAGCTTCCCATAATCTTTCCTCTTTTGTGAACAGATTTATAATATTACTCAAAATTTTTTTTACAATATTTTCCAAAAACATTTTGATTTTATTAACACATTGAATGTAGGACGAAAAGTGTGAGAAAAAAATTTGAGGTTAACCAATAAAAAAAAACTTATTTGACAAAGAAATATTTAAAACCTACTAAATAACTACAAAATATTTTACTTATAGAATTCTGGAATTTGAAATATTTTTAAATTATAAAAATTTGCACTTGAATATCCTTTTGTTTTTGATACTTTCAAAACTTACCGCATTCATCATAAAATTTTTGTTTTTTTTTATTTTTTTTAATAAAACATAAAATTTTATTTTTAAAAAGTTTTACTAAAAAAAATTTTTTTTTAATTTCCTTTATAAATATGTTTTTAAGGACTAATAATGAAAAATCTATACATATAGAAAATTAAATCAATGTTTTATAAAACAGCACATTTCCTCCTTAAATAAGTTACGTGTTTGCATAAATTTAGAGCTGAATAATGAAATCGATATTATTTTGTAATATATTTGCTTAAATTTAAGCGAAATAGTAAAGAAATATGCTTTAAAAGATTTGTAGTAAAAATTTTAAAAATAAAGAATGAAGTAGGGACTAAACGAACTAGCAAATCAACAAATTAGCAGTGGACGAAATAGTTTGCAAATTACTTGAGTTTTTCATTACGTCTTTCCAAGAAACAGAAAATCGAATATTGACGTTTTTAGCAAATTTTAATTGGTAATAATTCGAGGGAGGAAGAACTAGCAACGAAATTTTTTTGCGAGTATGTACACATTTGCCGGCCTTTAAAAACGAAAAGCTAGTTTGAGATAACGGTTTATTTGAAAATTCACTTCAAATTCACTTTCAGCCCTCCCAAAATTTTCAAAATTATATTTGGTAAAGTAATAATACTCAAATCTTGTATTTTCGCGACTTTGAAAAGCTATAATTTGTAGAGAAGTAGATTTATGGAAAAATTTTGTTCTAGAGATATATAATTTTGGCTCAGATGTACTTGCATACAAAATTTCAACTATGTCTGTTTCGAAAAGTATAGTAGTTTTGTAAGCTAACAGATCGACGAATGGACAGCAAATAGAATTTTTTAAAATTGTGAGAAAAACTAGTTGTTTAAAAACTTTCCGAATTATGATATTTTGATTTTAATAATTGAAAATCAGTTATTATACCTATTTACATGTAAGTTTGCAACAAACAGGGAAAGTCACCAATTTTTTAAAGTAATCATGATATGTTTGAAATAACCAAATCTAATATAACTTATCTAGTATAGCCTATTAAATTCTGAGAACAAATTCAAATTATTAAAACTATGATTTGTAAGGATTGCAATCATTTAATTTCACCCGAATTTAAGAGAATAGAGAAGTTTCCAGTGCATAAACAAGATTAAAATAAATTTAAAAAAAAAATGCTAAATAAAATTTTTTGATTCATTCAAACTAAGCTTGAACGATAAACTTTTATAACCTAATCGCCAAAACGTATACACAAATAAATTGTAAATAATTTATGAACGAAACCACAAACTTATTATTCTTATAAAAAATTCTATATATATATGAATACATCGACAAATAATTAAGACAAAAGCTACCGAATTTTCTTTCTAATCCCGAATTTGATGTTGTCTCGGCCAACCGATAAAGAAACGTTTTATATATTAGTTGAGCCAAATCTAATTTGTATTAAATTGTTCTTTAAGTATAGCTATACAGCCGTTCATTTCATATTCAGCTGTCACGGCAGAATATCTCAAATATGATATATACTCGTATATGTAAAAATAAAATCTTTCACATATTAATTTTATAATATATATGTAATTTAATTATTTTTACATAAAATTAAAAAATAAAATCCTTGAAATCGTTTTTCAAGGAAATTTTCTACAGGTAGAGATAACGTGATTGTAATTAAAATGATATAAATGTTATGTACTCATCATATACATAATCACCTTTAAGATATTATAAATCTCTTTAATATTTTATATATAATACCTTAAGAATATTTCAATATTAAAATTATATTTTAATTTAAAAGTATTTATGGAATCTTTTATACATTTATATTATAACACTATAATCTCTATATACATGTATACATAATATAATTTCGTGGGAAAATTCTCATAAATAATTTCAATCTAATATATATGAAACATTATATAAATTAAAAATAGTATGTAAATTTTAAAGAGGATTTTATGGATTTTTAAGGATTTGGAATTCTTTAAAAAAAAAAAAAATCTACCTTATTATATTCAGTGAGAACCATTACAATATTACATTATTATTTTTTTTATTATTATTAAAATACACCTGACAGCTACACATTAAATTCATATTTATAAATTTCAAGTAATAAGAAACGCTATATATATATGATTTAGCTATTTATAAACGCTTATTAAAACACATTACATTTTTAAGCTTTATTTGTATAGAAAAAAAAAAAAAATAAAATAAAAATGGAAAGAATTGCATGGGAAGGGAATAATTTGATATTTTTTTTTTACAAAAATTTTTTTTTTAAATTTTTTGTTAAAAATAATAATAATCCACTTACTGCATTCAAAAGCATGCACAATATGATCCATCCTCGTAAAAAGATTTTCATTTTAATTATTCCACCAGAGATGACCATATTGTTGCTGTTTTTCTTGATTTTTATATTTTTTTTATTGTTGTTTTTTTTTATTAATATTAACAATGGGCTGTTTATTTTATTTTAATGTTTTTATACTTAATAATATTATTATTAATTGTTGAGTTTTTATAGAAAATTAGAAATTTTTTTTTTTGTTTTCTGTTTAGAAAATTCAAAATCTTTAGGGTATTTAGACACTATCACCTCTAGTACTTTTTTGTTTTGTTTAGTTTATTTAAACTTTCACAACCTTACAGCAGCACACCTCTAAAAAAAAAATTAAAAGAAAAAAACAAATTCCACTTAACACTTATGATTTTTTTTTTTTCTGTTTCTCGTCACTTTTCTTAATTTTTTTTTACTAATTTTTTTAATTATTTACGGTAATTGTTGTTAAAATTTATTTTTGTATTTTTTTTTTGTTTTCGAATTAATTATTTTTGTATTACAGAATTTCCATAAAATAATTATTCAAAAATTTAAAATCCATAGTATTAAGTAAGAAAAAATAAAAGCAAAAAAAGTAGAGAAAGGACGATGTAGCTTTCAAATTGAATAAATAAATTATTTTACAAAAAAAAAAAATAAAATGAAAAAACTGATAAAAAACACTTACAACCTTACATCTAGAATTTTAATATTATTAAATTTTTCGTATTTAATCAAAAACAAAACAGAAAAATCCTTGAATAATAAGAAAATAACAATTTTTTTTTTTATTTATTCAAAAAAATATTTTAAATTTTTTTAGGCAAAAATAAAAAAAAAAAGTACAATTTTGATTTTTAATTTAAGTTTAAATTTTACAAGTTTTCCCGCCGCCCGAATATCCTTTATTGTATATATATATATATATATATTTCATTAAATTTAAATAAACAATTATAACAAATATTTAATTTTTTAAATTTCTTTTATATTTTATTCAAATAATTTTAATTTAACACACTTTTACTTTATTAACAAAAAAAAAAATTATTACCGTTTTATTATTAGAAAAAATATTTATTTTATTAAAAATTTTTCTCTTCTTATTTGAAGTATTTCAAATAACGGTTCTAGACCATCTGAAGTTAAATTAGAATTTACCAAAGTTTTTATATACAAAATTCACATTTTCAAAAAAAAAAAAAACCAAAAAACAAAATAACAAGTACTAGAAAAAAATTTTCCTTTGCCAATGTTACACATCCTTTGCTTTTTTATTATTTGAATAATATTTTATATATACATTTAACAGTTATTTAGAAAATTATAAGAAGAAATATAATATGAGAATGAAAATAGGATCATATTAACAACAGAAAAACAAAATGAAAAAAAAAAAAACCGAAAAGAAAATCAAAAAGCTTTCGTCATAATTCAACTATGTTACACACATATATATATTTTTATTTTGTATACAAAATACAGGATATTCATCTTTGGGTTACCAATTCACAATTTAAAATTGTTAAAAAGATTTCACGAGAGAGTCCTTAAAGAAACTTGATGGCTTAGGTATATGTAAACCTTATTTGCAAAACCTAATCCTAAACGTAGATGTAAACCTTAATCAAAAATATAAAACAACGATAAAGTTTTTGAGTAAATGGAGGTTACAACAGAGCCAAAATAAAGTGTTAATTGTAAATATTATCACTTATTTGGTCATGTTAACTATAAATAACTCGATCAATCAAATAATAAGATTCATTTAATGACTAATTAATTAATCACTATTTCAATTTATAAAATTAGTTATCTTAAAAGTTTCATTAATAAATTAAATTATTTTTTAATAATATAAAAGAAATTTACGCAATATAGCTGATTTATTTAAAAATAATCGCGCCCCATCTTTTTTTAATTATATACTCATTTTAAACCATAACTCTTAAATCATTATTAGATCTCACAATATTAGATCTATATTTTGAATTCAAGTTGAGATTTAAAATTAATTGAATATTATATAAGGTTCTGTTCAAAATGACATCATTCACAAGTTTGTTTAAATATAACACACACGTCATTATAATTGCTAATTAGGGAACAACAACAAGAACAACACAACCACCGCCAGCAAGTTCCAATATCAAGTAACCTATACAATAAAAAAAAACTAGTTATCAACCGATCCTCTTACTCAATATATACACAAATATCTGACACAGATGCCAGATCCTTACCCCGCACCGCCATCTGGACCGACCCCGTACCTGATCCCGTATTCGCACCTAACCCGAACCCGCACCCAATTCATATAATGAATTCAAACGAGAATGCTCTTGAAAGACTACACAAAAAATATCCCCCATAAAAGCAAACAAATAAGCAATAAGATGAAAATTTTTTAGGAGTTTTTCCGAGACCTCAAAACTACAAAACATAACATAAATCAAAATTTCGTTGAATTCATTTCGAATTAAAAAAGAAAAAATTTTTAAAAATTGTTGCTAAAGAAAATTTTGTTTGTAAGAAACAAAAGTTGCATATACATTGCGACGGGGTAATATTGCAGCAGTAAAGTCTTGCGCATTTTAAAAAAGCTTTCCATAACATATTTTATCACATATATGTATATTAAACAATACATATAACAGTATATCAAATATTACATGTAAATATTAAACGTACATATTTGACTTATATGCCAAACTAGCATGCGGAAACAAAACATATTTCATATTGTTATTATAAAATTGCCGATCTAATTTATAATGTTTCGAAGAATATTAAAAACAGAATATAAACTTCGTATTTTACTACATATATAATATGTAGTATATACATTATATATATACTACATATATAATATGTTTAACATATTTTTAATATGTTAAAAAACGTAAAGCTGTACATAGTTTTTCATATTACACGCTTTAATGTCCTGCAAATTTCGTTCTAATTAAAATGAAATTTTTGCTGAAATATTTTTATATTCTTTTTCATCGAAAATTTCTCTAGTTTTATACAACGTTACTATCAAAAATTCTATAGAACAAAAATTTTTTTGTACCTTTTCGTTATAATCCTCTAAAAATTTAATAATTTGACGAACAAAATAATTTGTATGCCGTTACGTCAATATGAATGCTATTTATATTTATACATGCCTCCGTCTCATACCATCACATCACGCCTTATTAGATTTCGTAATAACCTTCAATTTTCAAAAATTAACAATACACTTGGTTCAAATTACACTTAAAATTATTTGTTAATTAAAAGATATCCTTAAATGATGCCGAATGAACGGAATATTTTTTAATTTCCTTGTCTAAATTTTTTGATTTGAATTTTTTATTTTGTTTTTCTTATGTTTTTTACTACTCAAATATAAATTACAAGATGTAGTATAATCTGATATGCATGAATCTACACATGGGTACAATATTTCTTTTAAGTTTTCAAATTTCAAATCATCATTACAATCATCATTACAATCGACATCATTGTGTGAATAATGACGTCATAGTATTTTAATACTATTGTTATACATATTTTATAATATACATATAAGTATATCATCTGTATCATCATCGGTTTTATATAAAAACAAAACAAAAAAAAAGGAAATTTTATAGATCCCATTTAAAAATAATGAAAATACCGTTAATGTGTGTGTATGTAAATATATTTCTATTGTTCAATCACTAAATTTCCACGTATATAGGCGGACATTAATTGAATATGGGACTTAAAGGACATACATAGTACAATCTTATATGCATAAATTTATATTTTATTAATCAATAAATGAGTAATAAGAAATTTATAGCTTTCAATTAAATTATTATTACAAAATTTTTATTATGCAATATTTCACTTAAAATTTTATACACCCAAATAATTTTTTACATATAAGCAATTACATTTTACTAATTTCAATATAAAAATAAATAATACTACATTAATTATTGTAAATATAATAATAAATTGAAAAAAAAGTCAAATGTTCAATTTAACAACACAGTACCTAATTCATAAAACACATATATGATAAATAAATAATTGCAATTTATATATTAAAGGTTTTAAATAGAAATAAGACAAAAAACTTAGCTGATTTTAAAAATTAATGTATTTCGGATGATCAATTAGTAATTTTTGAGCAAAGTGATGTACCTATGCAGAATAAATTGAAGCCGTTGAAGTTGCGAGTCTATTTTAAGCCTTTTGTAATTAACAAAAATATTTGCAACTAATTATCCTTGTAAAGGATAGCAATTAAATAAATTAATTGTTTGAATAACAAAACAAAAGGTCCATTTAACTCTTTTCAAATTGTGGTTTAATTTTGAAATGGCACTCATAACATAAATAAAACAAATTACCATAAAACATTCTTTATCTTATTTATATAATATTCTAGAACAGTGCTCATATTTTATTCCAGAACTTAAAAACACTTGAGTGTTTTCACGTTCTGGAACAAAATATGCAGATAAGTGCAGCTAAGTCTGTAAATCTGAACAAAACGAACAAAAAATTAAAAAAATTTTCTGAAAAGTACAAATTTTAAAAAGAAGACTTATAAAACATTTGAGATTTTTTTCGTCGAGGATAGCGTAAGGTTCCCATGAGAGCCCAATTGCTCGTATAAAGTGTATAAAATTCATAGATATATATAATATACAATAACAAAATTTGTAAATAATTAACTTAAAAATATATAAATTATTCCAATACAAAATAATGATCAATCTACTTTTTTAACATATTCATCCAATAAAAGAAAAGAAAAAGTAGAAAACTGAAATAACAAAAATGATATAAGAAAAAAAAATTAAAGCTAATTTGATTTTAATGCGAAAAAAAAGTATGTATTTTAAATTTGGTTTAAATAAAAGTCCCTGACTACTGCCTTAAATTTATCTAATTCATTAATTTTAAATTCATTTTCTAATTCATTATAGTTTCTATACGCTATATTGTATATAGTATCTTGTCTATTAAATCTAATATTTGATGATAATATTCTTAACTTTTCAGCCGTTCTTGTATTGTAGTTATGATAGTTTTTATTGACGGGTGGTGAAATACATATATTTATGTTTTTATTTAGTATCATGTGTATTTGTGTTACCAAGTTGTATTTAATGTAATGATGCAGCGGCAAAATTTTGTGTTCTTTGTGAATATATTTTGTAGATGTTCTGTGTTTGTAGCCGAAAAGATTTTTTATTGCCTTATTTTGTAGTTTTTGATTCCCCATATGTGAATGGAGTAGGTAATGGTACTGTGAAACATACTATAATAAAGCGATCTTTTCATTTTTACAGGAACTCTATTATTAATTAGCGAAAAAACTTTAGCTATTCTTCTGGCCTTCTTGTTCTGCAAATACAAGAGACTGCTGTCAATTATAACGCCCAGATAATTATAAGCTTTAACCATTTCTAGATTCACAATATTGTATTTGATATTTATAGTTTGATTTGATCTTTTCTTAATTATCATATACTTCGTTTTTTTAATGTTAACTGTAAGTTTATGTTACTCATTTATTATCCAGTCATTTATTATAACTAGATCTTCTTGTATCGCGTTTTCTACTTGATTTAACGATTCGTGACTGTATATAATTGCCAGGTCATCGGTATACATGAAGGGATTTCCCCTTAATTTTATATTTCCGAAACCACTCATATAGCAGGAAAACAGAGTTGGTCCTTGCGAACTACCCTGTATCACCCCATATGGTACATTATGTGGATCACTTTTAATTTTATCACACTCCGTGTATTGCATTCTTTCGCTTAAATAACTTTCGAACCAATCGTATTCCTTACCCTTGACACCACATTCATACAATATTTTTAATAAAATACTTCTGTCGATAGAATCGAACGCTTTCTGTAGATCGAAGAATACGATCGTAACTGTTTTTTTTTTCATCGATTCCTAATTGTATTTCTGAAACCACGTCAAACAAAGCTGCTTGAATACTAGAATTTTTGCTAAAGCCGTATTGTTTTTCATTAATTAATTTTTCAGATTCTAGATGTTCGACAAGTTGATAATTAACATATATTTCAATAATTTTTCTAAAAATAGATGAAGTTGAAATTGGTCTAAAGTTACTTACATAATTTATATCACCCGATCGTTTTTTCTGGCATTTTTCCTTGAGATAGTGATGCATTTATTAGACATTTAATATTTTTTGAAATCTCTTCCTTGCATATTTTTATTAATTTAGGTGAAATTTCATCTACGCCTACTGACCCTGAGTTCGAGATTTTAGCAATAAGTTTTTTTGTTTCATATTCATTAATGAAGTTAAATTTAAATTCTTTTTCTGTTTTCACCTTTGGAAAATATATGCTGTCAAATTTTTTGGCCATTTTTTCACCAACTGTACAGTAATACGAAATAAATTTATTAATTCTACTAAGTTTTCTGTTTCACCGATGTCCAAATTTGAGAAAAAATCATTTTTTTGCATGTTTGACGAATTTATTATTTGTTTTACAACATTCCAACTCTTTTTTGGGTCACCTTCTGCTTGTTGAAATTTTTTACAATCATATTGTTCCCTTTTTCTTCTTTTAATAGTTGTCAATCTATTCAACCAGTACTTATATTTTGATTTGAAATACTCAGAACTTCCATTCTGCATGTATTTCCCATAGCAGTAATTTTTTCTTTCAATTAGTTTAGCGCACTCGTCGTCTATCCCTGGTGCAGTATATTTACTACATTTTACATTAATTTTTTTGACAACGGTAGCTCTTTTTACTATATTTTTCACGCTAGATGTCAGGTCACCTACTATGTTATTAACTTCAATATCTTTGACAACACATTTACCTAACTCATTTTTGACATATTCATAATTAACTTTTTTAATCAGCTGTTCATCTTTTTCAGTATTATTTATGTTTTGTAAATTTTTTAATTTCCGCGATCATACCAAGATGATCAGAAATTTCATGATGAAAAAGGAAAATATGTACTTTAGTATTAGGATCATTTAAAAATATATGATCAAGGCAAGTATTAGAAATTGGTCTAGTCATCTCATTGTTACATAAATGGAAACCATTGGATTCTACAACAGATAAGTAAGTTTGTACATTTCTATCTATTTCATTATTTGAAATCTCTTAAAACAATTGAATTTTGGTTTTTTAGGTGTTCTAAATGTGAGTCTAGCTTGTGAAAAAATATCTCAACACTGTTTGCAGAGTTTTCAGGAGGTGAATATTACTCACATTACTGTTGTATTCATCACAAAAGATGTCTTGCTCAGAATACCGCAAACTGTTATGAACAAATAAGCCAACACCACCCCCGACTCTCGTTTTTCTACATGATAGAACCTTATTGTAATTTCTAATATCTATAATTGCTAAATCCGCATCTACTTCTAATATCCACGTTTCGGTAACAACAATTATGTGTACAATACAATTAAGCGTATCTAATAAAAATGTTAAATCATCTAATTTGTGTTTTAAGCTTCGCGCATTTATATAAAGGACTTTTATTGACTCTTTTTCTTCTAAGATTACTTCGTTAATGTTATAATAAGTTTTGACATAAAAGGCAAATCACATGAAATCTCATTCAGCATTTAAATTAGATTCGTGTAAAACCCTTATTATTTTTGATGTCGCTGACCTTCTGATAAATAATTTGCCATTTTTTACCTACACGAATTCAATTTCTTTTTTTCTTTTCAAATCTCTAGCTCTTTTATATAACAAACTGAAGTATCTTGTTAGTTTTTCATTAATGCAAATAGGACCGTTTATATTTGAATTTTCATCTTGAATTACCTTTGCTGTAAGTTTTTTGTTTTTTATAGCTTTCATGAAGACCGCTTTAATTTCTAAATTAGAAAATTCGACTATTTTATTTTCTGGCTCACCTGACTTTTTAGACTTTTTAGAAGCTTTGAAAACATCAACGACATCTTTTTGTTCCAAGTTTAAACCAACTTTCTGAGCAATACGTTGCACAATTAACGCAGGTTCTTTTTCCGGAATACTAACTGTTGCACCGCATATTTCAGCTTGGTTTTGTCTATTTCTATTCTGGTGTATGTAATATCATCCTTTAGTTGTTTGTTTTCATTTCGTAGCTTAATATTTTTCTCTATCAAGCTATTTATGTAATCTTTTATCTCTCTAACTTCATCTTGTATTGATTGAATACTATTTTGTTGAAAAGTTTGGTTTTCAATTATGACTTCTAACTTCCTGTATACTGTTTTTATGTCCATTTCGGTTTCAGACGTATGCCTACTGCGCTCATTTCCAGCAGTATTCGCAAGGCCTATGTTTGCAGATTTACATTTTTTCCGCTTGACTTCAATATCCATTGCTGAACATTGGCTGCAGTATCATTTTTTGCAGTCTCCATCACATTGTATCCCATTATTCGTTCTCAGATTAATTTTTTTTTTGCATTGGTTACAATTGTTATTGTTATTACTCGACATTTTTTGTCGAGTTTCTTTCTTTACAATTATCTTATGTATATTTATCTTATGTATATTCTTTACAATTATCTTATGTATATTTGAATAAGCTTTGTAAGAGCTATAAAGAATTCAAAACATTAGCTTGTTAGAAGCAAGCTACTTAATGCGCAAGTATTAAGTAATTTACTTAGTAAACATTCTAAAAAAGTACATATACTTAAAAATCCTAAATTTTAAAAAAAAAAAATCTATTCGTTAAAATTATTTCCAAATGAGTACTTACAATACACGTTGTAATTCTTTAAAGCTTTATAATAGAATTACATTAATGGAATTAATAGGATACCTAAATTAAAGTAGAATGATGTCTCAAGAGGAATATAAATTTTATATTGATAACACATACATACATATACATATATGTAAACATGTATTAATTTTCTTTTACAGTTACAAAAACTCTAATATTACCAATTAAAAAATAAAATTATATTTTATATGAAACGAAATTGTAAAATATGAGTTGTTTTAATGCGCATTGGGAATACTATGCATATAGTGTATTTTCAACTGGAAAATTCCTATATTATAATGAAATTTAAAACTTAGCAAGTGAAAAAAATAAAGAAATTCAAATATGTTCTTATGAAAGGCATTTTACACATGCATATGTAGGTTTAAAAAATTATTAAGAATTATAGAATAATATTAAGAAATCATATGAACTGCAATTAATTAGAAATATTTAATCTTACACCCTTACATACATATTTACATATTATATTAATTTTCTTAAATCTTACTAGACATATTCTTCCATATTAACTATATAACATAAGTTAATTTACAAACTAAATGCGCAGAACGTACAACTTATAAAGTAGTTACAATATTTTTGAATAAAAAGAAATTCCTCTTATAGAGAGTAAAATTTAAAAAAAATTTCAAGGAGTTTCCTTTTATCCAGTTTTAACAGCATTTGAAACACATATATTTTATTAATCAGTATTGGCTAAACTTTACGTAATCCCACAACCAAATTACATTATGTACATCATAAATTTTAAAATTCCATAATTTTAATATTATATAAATAAAAATATAATTTTATTAATATAATATTGAAATATAAAAATTATAATTTTATTTAAAATCATGGTTCTTATTATTATATAGACACACCTACATATACTACTTTGTATTGAAATTAACTACAAAATCAAAAATATTTTTATTTAGTGCAAATTTATCGCATTTATTTTTAAAAATGATTAATCCAATATTGGAAAGTTACTATTATTAGAACATTACTAATTTTCGTGACATGCATGAACTTATATAATATAGATACATATTAAATTACATATTTATATGTAATATATTATGTAGGTGCATTTATATACACAAAAAATTATAATATCCTTTTACAATAAATAAAGAGACAAAATTATTGTCATCAAAATGCTTGTCATTATTGCTTTAGGCCATTCATGAAATTTATATAGAGTCAAAATCTTTTTAGGAATCTTTTTTTTTATATACATAAGTATGTACATAATATTAATATTCCTAGAGAATACGGTGTGAAAAACGTGATAATTAAAAGCTCATTTAATAAACGTTATTTTTATATACATACATATAATATTATTCATTTATTGTTTATTAAGATTCTTTGAAAATATTTTTGGAAAAAGTACTTTCATGGACTTTCATTTTTAATCCGTAGTTTTTTAATTTATGTATTAATATTTGTATATATAATTTATGTGTTTCTTTTTATTCACAATATTAATTTACTTTATTAAAAACTAGTATTTTAAGATGTTAACTGTTATTTTTGCATCCAAGTATCTCCATATATTCATATTTACAATTTACTACTTATAGTCATAAACATATACATACTCGTATATGCCTATTATTTAGGTCATATACATATAGCTTTATTCCATATTTAAGAATAATAAAACTTGTGTAGCTGTTGTGTGTAAATTGAAATCTTGTTGAATTTAAGATATATTTGGAATTTTTTTTTCAATTAACTAAAAAGCTATATATTTGCAACCAAGATTTTTTCCAAACTGCAGTTGGCGTTTTAAAAATAACTTTGTATGGTATTTTTTTCCAATTTATGCGTACTCTTTGCGACAGTAACTTTACATGATAATTCCATATCCTTGGCTATAAATATCAAAATTTCAAGTTTACCAAAATAATTCTGTTTATTCAAAACACATTTATAATAAAAATACAAATAAAGTACATACAAATAATAATAATACATCCATGTATAATTTAATAAATTAAGATTGCTAAAGCAACCTTTAAACGCATACACTTTTTCAAAAAATAAACAATTTAAAAACATTGCACCATTCTAACTACAAAAACAATAAATTCAACACTATACTCGATGTAATTTTAGAACTTTACGAAAATTACTTTCCAAAATTTAATATACATATGTACATATTATTTAACATTTTTAAAATTTCTATTTAATCAAAATAAGGCCCTTTTATAATTTAGATTCAGTTAACCAATTAAATGATTGAGGTTTCCTGTCAGCTGAAGGCAGGATTACAACATTTATAATTGTTGGACGGTCTGTCAGATTATTTGCTTCTTTCAAAGCGCTTTGCAATTGATCAACTGTTCGAACAAAATATCCTTTCATTCCAAACATTGACATCATATTTTCATAACGTGTTTCCACATATAACGCAGATGGCGGTGTCCTAAAATTGATATATGTATAATTAAATATAATATCTGTGTAAATATACGAGTAAAATATATGTATGTAAGTTTGTATGAACTCTTACACTTGGGTTAAATCGCCTTCGCTTCTAATAGAATCGAAAGTTTCATTATCAAAGCCACCATAAATTCCACTATTATTAACAATAACAATAGTAATAGGTAATTTATATCGTACAATTGTTTCAATTTCCATTCCTGAAAATCCAAAAGCCGAATCACCTTGGACACATATAACACGCTTTTTAGGATAGAAATCCCTACAATATAATGCTGCTGCAATAGCAAATCCTAATCCAACTCCCATAGTACCGAATGTCCCAGCATCTAAACGATGTCTTGGAAGAACATTAGGTAGCATTGATCTTCCAATATCCATGGTATTTGCACCTTCATTAATTATCATTGCATCTTCAGGTATTATTTTTTGCATATGATGAAAAACTGCATAATAATTTAAAGGGATTTCAGTATTCATTGCCATTTTCATTACAACTTCTTGGTTTTTCTTGCACTGTTCTTTCAAATGTTTCCACCATTCGTTATTGATTGGAAAACTAAAATTTCGTTTACTTAATATTTCAATCAACTGGCTCACAAAAGGTTTTATATCCGACTGGACAGCAACAGAACTAATAACACTATTGTGTAATTCTTCTGGGCAAATATCTACTTGGATAATTTTCACATTCTTATCAAATCGGGGTGGCCGTCCAAAGTGTAAGATCCAGTTTAAACGCGCACCTAATAATAAAACAACATCAGATTTTTGTAACGCTAAGGTTCTGGCTGAAGCAACGCATTGTTGTGACTTATCTGAAACAACCCCTTTACCCATGGGTGTAGCCAAAAATGGAAAATTTGTATTTTTAATAAATTTTTCGACAACATTTTCTGCTCTAGAATATGCAGCACCTTTACCAATTATAATCAATGGTCGCTTAGCTTGAATTAATAACTTTGACGCTTTTTCGACAAGTTCAGGTTCAGGACAAATTAAAGGAAATTCTGGATGTGTAACATAATTAGTATTTAATTTAGAACTCTCAACTCGTGATTTTAATAAATTTCCAGGAAAATCAAGATAAGTAGATCCAGGTCTTCCATATGTTGCGTACCTAACGGCCTTTTCAATGTGCATAGGAATAAGCTCAACAGTTGGTGGTCTTGCCGCATATTTGCAATAAGGACGACTTAATTCAACCTGAGGACATTCTTGGAAACCACCAATCCCTTCATGATCTTCGGAAGTTGATCCACCTATAACCAAAAGTGGCCAACAATTTATTTGAGCATTTGCCATTCCACCTAAAAGGAAATTTAACTCAATTTATAATCTTCAATAAAATAATATTATGTTCAATACCAGTGCAATGTAATAATCCGGGTCCCGATACAACTAAACATACCCCCGGTTTGCCAGTTAAATAACCTATAGCTTGTGCTGCATAACATGCTGCTTGTTCATTCCGCATTCCAATATATTTCAAACCTGCTACTTGAAATGCCATTGATAGTTCAACTACCGGTATTCCGATAATACCAAAAACATATTCAACACCCTAAAAAGCATTAAACATTTTATAATGCTTAAACATATTTTTTTCAATTTTAAAATAATTTTTATTTTTTTGTATAATTCGTATCTACATATTTGTATTGCTTTTAAAATATAGTAAATATATATATTTCTTAAAGATTCCTTATTTACTTCGATTTAATTTTTTAAAAGTACCAAAGTTCAAAATTGTAAAAGTTCAATGCATATTTCTAATGGAAATATGTGTGTATTAAATACCTGTGCCTTGAGACTTTCGGCAATTATTGTAGTTGCATCTATTTCCGTCATATTAAATTGCTATTATTTTAAACTTAAAAAAAAACTGTAATAAATATGAAATAAAATACGATATTCCTTTATAGAACCCACCCAATGTTTATCTTTGAGATTTATCAAACTTATACAGATTTATACATACATATATATGTTTACATATTTATGTTTATAGGAATCAACAACTGATAGTGGTTAAATGTCATTTTATTGTGAGAGCTGAAAAGATTTATCAATAAAAATAGTACGTACTAAAAAGACTTAGTACGAAGAATTAGTCAAATATGAAACTTAAAAATACATATTAACATACATGTACCATAGAGGCATTATATTTATATATCTATAGCATGTTTATGTGTATAGTCAACAAAATTGAATCAATAAAAAATTACAAATTTTCATTGCAAGTTCTAAATACATATTACTTTTTTTTAGACATATATTGTCGAATTAAATAATGCTTTCATCACATTTTATAAAAAAATAAACGAAAATTAAATGAGGTATTTACTTTTTTTACGAAAATTCGTGTTTGCAAGATATTCATAAAACTTCTGACGCCAAACGCCAAATGTGAACAAATTCATAAAAAATAAAAATATCATCCAGAAAATTTTCGAAAAAAATAATTGAATAACTTTTGGATTTATTCTCGTTTCTTACAACTATAAAGTAAGTGAAGAATATGAAGATCATTCGCTGATACATCTATATCCATTTGCCCGTAAATTCATATTACAAAGTTGAGGACAAATTTTCGAATTTTTTTGAAACATTGAAAAATAAAAATATTTCGTTAACTTTATGGGATTTTTATTCTTAATGTCTCATTAAGAACAATTTATTGAAGAATATAAATATAAAATACCTCTACAAAAAATCCTTCATTAAAAATTTTGATATTTTTCCGAAATATAAAATTTTTCATACTCCTTTTTCTTTGGAATAAAATACTTTTATTTATTATTAATATAAATAAAAAAATAAATATAACTAATTGCGAAGAAAATGGAGTTTTTTTTATAAATCTAACAAACCTACCCCTCCTTGAAAACTACGGAAACACGGATTGAATTTTGACACTTTCAAATGACATTTCGCATTTGCAATCGTAGTAATAAAAATAAAATATAATCAGTTTTTTTTGCAGCCGGCTGTAAAGATAAACCGGTGTTCTGTTTATAAATTGTAAACAATTCGAATTTTTTATTGTAGATCTACATACGAGTATATGCATTTATTTTAGTGTAATGTTTCCAATTTTTTGGATACTTTTAATACTTTGTGGAGTTAATTCTGAAGAAATAGACTCGTCTGGTTATTTAGCTTACTGTCCCTGTATGGGTAAATATTTTTCAAATTTCAGTTTGTTTTTGCTCTAGATATACTAATTGGATTAAAAAAAAATTAGGACGTTTTGGTAACCAAGCAGATCATTTTCTCGGTGGTTTAGCATTTTCTCAAGCACTCAACAGAACGTTAATACTGCCACCATGGGTTGAATACAGAAAAGGAGAAATACGTTCAATACAAGTTCCATATGATAAATATTTCAAAGTAGAAAAATTGCTCGAATATCATCGTGTTATTTTGATGCATGATTTTATGGAACATATTGCACCACAAATATGGCCACCTGAAAAACGCATTTCATTTTGCTATTTAGAACGTCAAAGTCTAAATAAAGAAAATACAAAAAAAGACTGTTATGCAAAAGATGGAAATCCCTTTGGTCCGTTCTGGGATACTTATAATATTGATTTCGTTAAATCGGAATTTTTCGGACCATTACATTTTGATGTTCACCATAGCGATGTGGCTGCTAAATGGTCACAAAAATACCCATCAAGCAACTGGCCTGTTTTAGCATTTACAGGAGCACCTGCTAGTTTTCCAGTACAAATGGAAAATCGGAAACTGCAAAAATATGTTGTTTGGAGTGATGAAATACAAGAGAAGGCAAAAAAATTCATCAAAGAAAATTTACCTAAGGGAGCTTTTATTGGAATTCATCTACGTAATGGAATAGATTGGGTTAGAGCTTGTGAACATACTAAAACTAGTCAACATTTGTTTGCTTCACCTCAATGTTTGGGCTACAATAACGAAAAAGGAGATCTTTATCAAGAATTGTGTCTTCAAACAAAAGAAATTGTTGTAAAACAACTAAAACGATTAATAAAAAAAGTGAAGGAAATAAACAAAAGTAATGAAATAAAATCAATATTTGTTGCATCAGATAGCAATCACCATATCGGAGATATCAACGCTGCCCTGGGTAGAATGGGTGTTTCAGCACACAAACTAGACGAAGATAACCCACATGTTGATTTGGCCATTTTAGGAACAGCTAACTATTTCATTGGCAATTGTGTGTCTTCTTTTTCAGCATTTGTAAAACGTGAAAGAGATGTTAAAGGCTTCCCATCATATTTTTGGGCATTTCCAAAAGAGCGGTCGCATAGATATGAAAACAAACATGACGAATTGTAATGCATTATATGAAATATTTGTTTTGTATTTTCTTTTTTATATTATACAAAACTATTTATCGAAGCACTTCGAATAAAAACTATTTATTTTAATAAATATAAATGAACATTTTTTATTACATAATTAGGCGCTTTTAACACAAAAATTCAGTGTATCATAAACTCATAATTAAATTGGTACTGCTGCTATCATATACACTGGATACAACCCTTTAGGAAAATTTGTTTGTTTAACAGCTTTTATGATCTTATATTTTGTTGCTTTCAGTATTTTGTTGTAGGTTTTTAGAGGCCTCGTTACGGACGAATCTTCAGTATCTATTTCTAATTTATTTGATGATGTCACATTTTCCTTTATCACAACCATCCCACCTTTTTTCAGTCCGACACGAATTCTTTGCAAGAATAAAAGTAAATCGTCATCTGACAGATGACCTAAAACCCATTGAGACCATACAACGTCATATTTAGCTGGTTCTGGCAAAAAATTCTGTAATCCGCAATTATGAACTTTCCCTAATTTCCCACTTGAATCTCCAATATATTCAGGTGCTTTTTCACAGAAATTAAGATCTTGTTCCACTAAATCCACCTGTTCAAAAAAGGGAATCAATAAATATTTGGAAACTCTTCCAATACCAGCTCCACAATCTAAGGCTACTTGAGTTTTACTACTAGTATTCAAAAACAGTTCTTTTAAAAACTTTTGTGAGCCAATAATATCAAGATTATGAATATCCGCAAATCCACCAAGCATTCCATCAACTAAAAGTTTGATTGTTCAATCTCAAAATTAATTTTCTTAAATGAAAGCATTGCATTTAATGAATATTTACCAGTTGCTGGAATTTTGGACCAATATTGCTGCGGCTTTTTGTAAAATAATTCCTCTTCTGTTACATTACTTTCGCATTGATCTACAGAAACAATTTCATTACTATGCATTTCTCGCTTGCCCTCCTCAATGTTTTCGTTAAAGTCTCCATTCTCTGAAACTGCCATTTTCAATTATTTTTCGAAATTAAAATTTTAAATTTTGTTTACAAAATAATGAATTAAGATTCTGTTATTTTGAAATTTGTTTTCATAAACATTTTATTTTAAAAAAATGTCATAACCTAATGAAAAAATTGCATTGACAGAATAACAATAACAGCGTATGTCAAACATGTTATGCAAATGCGAACCATGTAATTTAGTAATAACACTAAAAATGAATTTAAAAATTTATTAAATAAACTTTCAGAAAATCGTTTTGAAATTTTTTGTAAACATATTTACGAAGTTTTCACATATGGTTCCTGGAACATATCTGAAATGGAAGAAAGAAAAAGTTCGTGCGCTAAACTTTGGAAGTTATTTCTCTATATTTTTGAATTTTTTTAGAAATTTTGAAAACTTGTTTAAATTAAATCATAGACAATTTTATTTTTTCATATTTATTATGTTATGTCTCTTGAAGACTAAAATTAAAAGATAATTCCGTTAAGGTGTATACAGAACAAGATTATTTTTCGAAATGTCAATATTCAAAATCGAAATGTCAACTGTGCACTATGAAGCAAAATTACCACCGCGAAGTTAACCGATGCTGGTAAAATTTTCTAAAATCTTATGTGTATGACATTATATACTAAAAAACTGTTTTTGCTATAATAATTGAAAATAACTTATCAAAATATAAAATAATATTAAAAAAGAAGTAAACATATTCACAAACTTCATATTATAAAAAAAAAATTAATTTAAATTTTTTTGACATTCACTTGTTGGTAGTTATTTAGCATTTTATGTTGAGAAACATAATATATCAACAATTTTTGTCAAAATTGCTAAAAGACATCATGTGCCCTTTTTCAAAGCTGCATAGTTTTTTCGTTTTGTCTAGCTCAGGTCTGTACAAAATTGGAGATCCAAATAGAAGGTGACGAAATTTAATTTTACAAATTTAATTTTTAATAAAAATAAAATAAAGGAATAAAATTGTAAAGTTTAATTCTAAAGCACTTGAAAGAACCGTTGATTACAAATAAATATTTTTTCTATTTATAATTGTAAGTACATACATTCCTATGCATTTGTAAAAAATTTTAACACCGGTGAAATTTTATTTTGTAATTAAGTATTATTAATTTTAATTGTAAAATTTTTGTATTATATTCATTTGATTTGTAAATCGATTTTTTTCAATTTTAAATTTGTCTTTGAATTTAAAAACATAAAAAAATTTTAGACGCAAAAACATTCATCTTATATTAAGAAGGAATGTCATCTGCCCTATTACGACTCAGAGTTTTTAATGGAATTTCCTCACTCAGCAAGCGACAAAATTTAAAGAATTATTCAACACTCAAGCAAAAATGGATTCCTTTAGCCAGTAACAAACAACCATATAGGAATTATGCTTCTAGCCCAACCGCAGAAAGTACAGATAAGGTAATTTTAAATGCATATAAACCAAAATAATTTTGTGAAAAAATTTAAAAATCTCAAACCCTTACATCTTATTTCAAAAAGTACCCTAATATGACTAAAATATTGGAAAAAGTAAAATTTAAAGATTTTGAAAATAAAAATATTTATTTCATGCTTTCCTCTACAGTGGATTTATGTAAGAATTTGAATATACGCACATATACAAACATTTTTAGTTTTTCAAATGTAGGTACCTACAACTCATATAATTATTCTTTCTAGACGAAAAAAATTTCCCAGGAAGATGAAAAAGATATTTTATTAAAACTAAAGGAGTCATTCGAAATAGACGAGCAAAATGGTGAAGTCATTCCGACATTTAAAAAAGCATTATTATACGGACACAAAATTGCAATCAAAGATGCTGTAGGAGAGCACAGTTATCTGAAATTATATCTGGGGGCTAAAAAATTGGCATCACAAATTTCGAATTATTGTGGTAAATTTTTTAAAATTTGTCATTTAAACAGCATAAATTATTAACTAGCATTAACCTTATTTAGGAACCGCTTCAAATTCTTCTGTTGCATTTTTATGCCCGAATGATGCGCTATATCCTTTAGTTCAATGGGCATGCTGGTTTTCAGGGCAGGTTGCCGTGCCACTAAGCGGCCGTCATCCAAAAGAACTACTGAAATATTTTATAAACGACAGTGAGACTAAAATGATAATAACATCGTCTGAGTATGAGGATATATTGAAACCAATTGCTGATAGTTTGGAAAAAATGTTAATTGTAATCGACCATTCATATATTCCAGATATCGAAAATGATATCTCATATTTAGATCCAAAAATGGAAAATATACTGCAATTAAAATCTCAAATTCATCTTGAGGGAGCCTTAAACAATGATTTCTATACCAAATCAAATGCCATGATTTTATACACATCAGGTACAACTGGTAAACCTAAAGGAGTTGTTCTTACTCACAAAAACTTAACAGCACAAGTAAATTCTTTAATAAATGCTTGGAAGTTTAATGAGAAAGATTGTGTACTGCATGTGCTACCCCTTAATCATATACATGGTTGTGTAAACGGACTCATGTGTCCATTAAACGTCGGTTCTAAAATAATAATGCACGAGAAATATGACAGCCACAACGTATGGAGTGCTTTATTAAGCATTAACACACCAACAAAAGATAGAGTAAACTTATTTATGGCTGTTCCAACCATTTACAGTTTTTTGATTGAAGAATATGACAAAATATTTGCAAAAAATTCTAAAATGGTAGAATATATTGAAAATCATTGTAAGAAAAATATTAGACTAATGGTTTCCGGTTCAGCACCTCTTCCAATAACAGTTTTCAACAGATGGTACGACATATCAGGACATAAATTACTTGAGCGATATGGCATGACTGAAGTTGGTATGGCATTAAGCAATCCTTATTTTGAAGATAAAGCTGAGGGAAGCAGAATCAGAAGGCCAGGAACAGTTGGCTTGCCATTACCAGGTAATTTCTAAATGAAATATTTTATACATATATTAGATACATTTTATACATTAAAAACATTATTTTTCAGATGTTGAAGTTCGTTTGGTTGACTCAGATAAATCAGTTTTACTTACTGAAAAAGGAGAGAAAAATAAAGGTTATTGGCAGCCTGAAAATCAACCATTAATCAAAGGAAAAATTGAAACAAATGAAAAACCTATAATTGGGGAACTTGAGATAAAAGGTCCAACAGTTTTCAAAGAATATTTTAACCGACCTGAGGAGACTAAAAAGGAAATGGTCGATGGATATTTTCGTACAGGAGACATAGCATGCTACGAAAATGGAGTTTTCAAAATGATGGGACGATCTAACGTTGATATAATTAAGACTGCTGGTTACAGAGTTTCTGCTTTAGAAATTGAAACACATTTATTGAATCATCCGAATATTAAGGATGTTACCGTTGTTGGGGTTGATGATGATAAATTTGGTCAAAAAATTGCAGCTGTTTGTGTTCTTCGAGATAATAATGAAGAACTAGGGCTAGAAAATATGAGAGCATTTTGTTCAGAGCGTTTACCATCGTACCAAATGCCCACTATATTAAAAATTATACACGAAATCCCACGTAATAATATGGGTAAAGTGAACAAAAAAGATGTTTTAAAGCAATTATTTTGCCAAGAAACCGAACAGAAAACGGAATAAAATTAACAATTTTTCTTTCGAAAATTATTATTAACTTCGGATTTAACTAATGAAAAAATTATGAAAATCAAATAACATTGGAAATTGAAAGCTAATAATAATTCACTGTGATGATATGTTAAACAGTTATTATTTATAGCAAGAATTTTGATTTCAATATCTTCACAATTAGTTCACTGGCATTTTTTCCTTTATGTTAATAATATTATAGTTAATACGAATATTAAGCTAAACGAATAATTAATTTAATTATGCCGAAAATTGTTTTGCATTTAAAAAAAGATGATAAGATACTTATTTAAAATTTTAAAAATCTACTATTTTTGTGTTCTTTTTAATTTTTGCAAACAGAAATTTAAATTCTTTTTTTATATTACTTAATCGCTTAAGAAATGATTTTGCTTAATTTTGAGTCAGTAACATACATTTAATAAAATTCAATTACTAATTTCAAAATAATTTTAATATTAAAGATATCTATTTTATGTTTTTGAAATATTAGTCATAGTTATTTTTTTATTTGATGTATAATCATTATTTTATTGTTAAATAAAAACAAATTAAAACTAATATTTTTAAGTTATAATGGTTCCACCCTTTACTCACTGGGTAAGAAGAAAGTGAGTATCATGTGGATATAGTCATATACGGAAATCACATTATACCTTATGAGAATCGATTCACTAAGTGAAAAATGACTTACATATATCGTAAAAAGTTCGATATTAGTACTGTAAAACACATATCAATTCTATCAAAAGATTTGTGTTTACAATACATTTCTTTAAACTTTCATGATACTGGAAATATTATTTAGTAATCAAGTAAATTAAAATATTGACATCAACAAAACTAATTTAATTAAACACACATTTTAAAAATTTATTACATTTGTTTTAGTATTTCTAGTACAATTTTTATTATTTATAAAAATTAATATGTAGTTATACCCAAAAACAAGATAATTAAATCTACTAGATTTTTTTGTTTCTATACCGTATACAGATTAATTTTTTAGTACTTTTGTTATTCATATGACAGCTTATAGCATAGTACACAGAAGTAAAGCTTTTCTAAATGACACTGACATTAAAATATATTGAGAATTTTATATAAATGTCTAATCTAACAATGCAGATATGTATATATCCATTTACAAAATTTTATCTTAAAGTATGTACATATATTTATGCCAATTTGACTACCTTTTCCAATAAGAGGATAGACATTTCAGATAATCAAAAAAAATATGTACTTACTTTTCTTTCTTTTTTTGTTCTCTCTCTTTTTTTCTTGACATTTTGTTCTCCTACTACAGTGTGTTTTCTATGGCAAAAAAATTTTTTTTTTTCTTATTTTGATTAGTACAATTTCGAGAGCGCGAGCGATTATACTACCTACTTAAAATATTGTGCACTAAAAGAAAATTTTCAATGAAGGAATAAAAAAAAATTTATATACAAATATATACATAATATACATACATATATAATAAAAGAAGAAAAAAATTTTTTTTTTTTAATTCTAAATACAAAAAAAAAGCTGAAATATTTTCAATGTTAGATAAAATTTTCAATTGATTCTTTATTATATTTATTAAATTTTTAATTTTTATCCCAAGAAATATAAAAAATTAAATAGAAATTAGCAAATTATTACATTAGAAGAAAAGAAAAAAAAAATTTTTTATAACTATTCAACAAATATATAAGTCTATTTATATATACATATAAGTATATACATATAAAGAAATATATGTATGTACATATAGCAAAATAAAGAAAAAAAATATATAGTGCTCAATTTATTCCACAAAAATAAAAAATAAAAATTAAAATAATTCAAGAAAATATAGAAATATATATATACACTGTACGTACATAAAAGTGTATAGATATACATACTTGTATTTATGTATATATATATTGAAAAATCTATAGAAAAAAGTTCATAAAGTAAGATATAATAATTATATTTATAAATATATACATACGTGCATTTAAAAAATTTGATATAGATATACATACATTTTTTTTTAAATATGAAAATTTATTAATTTTTATTCTATACCAAAATATTGTCTAATTTTTCAACGAAAAGAATAGGGTACAAAAAAAAAAAAAATAAATTGAAAAAAAATTTGTGTATATGATACGAAATTATGTATATTTAAATGTACAAATATTTAAAATAGAAAAAATAAAAATAATTCGAAAAGAAAAAAAACATTAAAAGCAGATAAATATAAAAAGAAAAGAAATAATTTTTTTTTTTTTAAAAACAAAATTCTAGTGAGAAATTTTCCACCCAAAGAAAAAAAAATACATATACATACATATGTATGCATGTGTATTTATATATACATATATATATATATATATACAAAATATTTATGAACATATGTGTATGCTTTTTTATATATACTTTAATACCTATGCATATATAAGTTTGCAAAGAAAATATGACAAATAAAAAAAAAGCACAATATATATAGAATATATACAATTAAATTAAATAATAAATATTTTATTTTTATTAGAAAATTAAAAATTTTCAAATTTTTCCCTTTTTTCATTCACTGGAATAATAATTAAAATTGATTATCTTATAAAAAAACTTAAGTAATTTATATTTTGTTCTTATATATAGTTAATCTCTATGTATATATATATAAATAATGTATGTATAATTGGTACATATGAATATACATACATATTTCTTTAATATTTATATAATTTCGTAGTTATATTTTTCCATAAAAATAAATAGATAATATTCTTGATTTTTTAAATTACACAAAAAAAAAAAAAAAATAGAAAGGAAAAAAAGGAAATCGCTTTCTAGTATTTAATTTTCCTAATTAATTTTTTTTTAATAAAAATAATATTTTATATTAAATAAATATGTTTCATTATTTATAACAAATTACTATTTGTTACTACCTACATAATATAAAAAATAAAATTTTCAATATATCTATCTAATATTGTATAAAATATAAAATTATTTATTGTTATACTTATTGTGTATTATAATATCACCTAGATATTTGGATATAAATTAAAAATTAATAAAATATTTAAGAAAAGTTGTGATACAATATTATGTATGAATATTGGATATTAATTTTAAATTTATATTAATTATTCTTTTTTGAGTTATAAATTTGATGTTCGGATATACATATGTATATGAATATATAACTATGTACACAATATTATTTTATAATTAATTTAGGTCCCTACTTATTTACTTAACAAAAATTTAATAAAAAGAATTTACTTGGATACCTACATATCCAATATTTAGTTACAATTTCTAACACAAATTACAGTTACATATATGTATATATTATGTATAAATAATATATATTAAAAATATATAAGCAAATAATATTTAAGTTATAATTATATTATAAATAAATGTGTCATATTGTTATAATGTACTTAATCATAGTAAATAACTGCCAAATTTCCTTTCTGAAAATATTATAAAAACTTTATATTATATTTATTAATAATATACCTATCATATATACCTATAAATGTACCCAAGTATATTCATTCAATTAATAAAATAAAACTTTAAATTAAATGTGTAAATAAATATGTATAGATTTTTTTTGAAAATTGCTCCCATTATAATAAAGAAATGTTTTTTTTTTTAAATTTTAATGACCATTGAAAATATTGTTAGAATTTTGTTTTAAAGAATTTATGAATATAGTTAATTAAGTAGTTATCTAGGTATACTCGTATAAGTAAAATGTATCTATTGAAAATTGAAAATGCATACTTAAATATAAATAATAATAACAAGTTAAAATAAATATTATATTAAATAATAATAATATATAAGTAATAAAAAATTTATTAATTTTTGAATAAAAAAAAGAAAAAAATTAATTAAAAGACATTTAAAAATTCTAAACTGATTAATGTATATATATATATATAATACTTATAATAATACTTATAATGAATAAGCACTTATATAAGTACATATATATATATATTTATTTATATATATATATATATATAAATGTATTTTGAAATATTAATAAAATTTAATAATAAAATCTAAAATAAACATTTACTTATATACTTACATGTATTAATTTTTTTTTTCTTTTGAAATTTAAGGAATTTTTTTTTTTTTAAATATACTCAAAATTTTATTTACTCCTACAAAAATATCTACCCAAATTTATTATCAATGACAAATACTTAAATATAAAAAAGAAAAAAAGAAAGAATATATAAAATTTCAAATTGAATAAATAAATAAATAAAAAAAAAATAATAAATAAAATAGAAAAATTAATTATTTAAAAATTCCGATTTGAAGTGAAATAAAAAAAAAAAGTTAATTAAAATTTATTTAAATTAAAAAAAAAACACATAAAATTATCAAACTGTATATTTAAATTTTAATTCAAATAAGTAATTATATGTGCATATGTACATACGTTATCATGTAAGTATATTTACAATTTTATATTATTAATTATTTATATTATATTATACTTACATATTTAAAATTATTAATTATTTTATTAATTATGTTAAATGTTTACAAAGAATAATTAGGTTTAAAAAAAAAAGGCAATTTACTTAGTGAGTAATAAATAAGAAGGAGAATAATCTATAATAAATAAGTATATATAAAATTAATTAAGAATGTGAAAAGAGAGAAAATATTTAGAAAAAAAAATTAAACTAATGTTGCAATAATTCTTTTACTTATTATTTTAATTATAATGTACAACGACCAATGGTGTTCTCCGGTAAAGCTTTTTTTTTTCTGTATAGAAATTATAACTACAATTATTATGAGTAGGAATTTACATACTTACTTACAATTGTGTATGTATGTCGTAATATAAAATATAATTTTTGTTTTTTCTTTCAATGCCTTGACAGTTCTGTTTAATATTTATTTAATTTTAACTAAGTATAATAACATAATTTTTATATATACCTAAAGTATAATATATATTTTTTTTTATAGATTTATAAACAAGTACTTATACTTGCTTACTTACACACTTATAGGTATATATTACATATTTTAAATATTATTATAAATATTTAGTAATTTTTTTTGTATTTCCTTATAATAATCGACTTGTTTTGTGTTTATTATTTTTTTTATATAAAATTTTTCGGTATTATTTTTGATTAGAATTATTTTTATCGTTATTTTATTATAAGTAAGTAATTAAGTAATTCATAATTTATACTTATTTTATTTTTTATAGTAAGTAATTTAGAAAAGAATTGTATCTATTGATTTTTTTGTTAAAATAAATATGAATTTGCTTATAAAATATATTAATAAATACTATGAAAAAGGCGATGCAGGTCTTACAACACTTCTATATATTTAACTATAGGAATATTGTAATTGTATCATTGAAATTAGTTAATTTTTATTAAGTATATATTTCTTTTACAATTAATATGCCAAAATTCTAAAAATACAAATTATACTTATACACTACAACTCAATATAATTTTATTAACTTTTAATATTGCGATATTTATATGATATTAATTATATATAAGTAATAATAATTAAAAATTTTTTAATTATTTTAGGGTAATCAACTTAATATCTATAATAATATAAAATAAAAAATTAATATTAAAAATAATTACTTTTAGGTTTATCAATAAAATTCAATTTATTCATCAAACCTATATACTAAGTAGGTAATTATTTTTATTATTAATTTTTTTATAAAATGATGAGTAACATATCAAAATGCATATAATTAAGTAACATAAAAAATGCACTAAAAATAACAGATTTGTTTTTTGCTAAAGTCACTAGTAAAACCCAAAAACTATTTATCGGCTTTTCGATTCCTTACGCTCATCGACAGGTACCCTATTGCCAGCGCTTATTGACCCGTAGCCTATTAATCGGCTTTTGATTATCGACGGTTTTTGTCAGTGGATTGCTCTTTTTATAACTTTTTATAACAAAAGGAATAAGCACAACACAATGCATAGTGAAAATTTAGCCGGTACTTACTGAGCGCGACTTAGCCGATACTTACTGAGTGGCAGCCTCAACCACAACCGGTCGATAAAGTGTTAACTGAAGCATGATGCTGATTATAATGTGCATTTAGGATTTGAAAATGAAATATATAAAGTATATTACTTAAATAATTAAAACTAACTTAAGTTATTACTTGCAACTAGCTTAACTAATAATGGTATTTTTTTTTGCAATACTTACTTGACAATCAAGTTAATTTTGAATCACAATATTTTAATTGTTTTCAAGTCACAATATTTTAATTGAAAATAATTTTCATTTACTTTATTATTTACTTTATTAATGCAAGTTTGTTAGGATACATTTAACGGTATTTTCGTAATTCCATAAAATTTTAATAAAACTTACTTACATTTACTTATGTTAAAAAATATCTTATTACTTATTATTTAAAAATATTTTATAACTAATAGATAGTTTTATTAAAGATATATATATAAATCTTATTTTCATGCATTTTTTAATAACCTTTCTAAATAATTAATTTTGCAAAAAAAAAAATTAATTTTAGATGAAAGGGACAAATTAGATTTTTAATATTGCAAAATTTATTACTCTTACAATTACAGAATATGAAAATTAACAAAAATTTTATTATGAATGTACTTAAGCATACTTGCTTACTCATGAGTATTTAAAATACAAAGTCAAAGTCAAATGCTAAGTAATTCAGAAGAAATAGAATTTTTATTATACATAAATATCTGTTTAAATATAAAAGAATGGTTATTCCATAATAAATAATTAATTTTAATAAAAAATAATTGCAATTGTAAATTTTCAGTAGTAAATTGTTATTTAGTAAATAATGTACTATAAATCAAAAATTCTTTGTTACGCCTTAAAATATGTTATATTTATCAAAAAATTTAAAAAATTCTTTGAAAATAAATATGCCAGCTAAGGTATTTATTTAATAAAAATAAATTTATTAATTTTCATATTATTTTTTTTACTTATTTACATAAAAAATACTATACTTTTTTGTTCTCAATTTAATAATTTTGTTAAAACTTCATAAGCATTAAGTGTATACTTTAGTTTAAAATGCAAAAGAAAAAAAAAATAATAAAAATAAAATAATCTTTAAATATGATTATAATTGATTTGACAGTTTGCCTTACTTATAAGTATGCATGTACATATATATTATTTAATGTATTTTCGTATACACTTACATACATATATGTATGTTTGTATTAAAGAGTATACACAAATTTACATTGACTCACATATTACATATGTAAAATGTGCATACTTCATTGTATTACATTGAAAAAAAAAATATAAAAAACAAAAAGAAAAATAACAAAAGTAAAAGTAAAACCATAAGCGCCGTCTATGAAGAAATTCTTTAAGTACATATATATATATTAAGTATGTATCGGTATTTTAACGAAAAAAAAAAAATTATTGAATTATAAGTACTTATTTTTTTCATTATGTATGTAGGTATTTATTTTGTTTTTTCTGTTGTTTGCTCATATAAGCAAAAATAGAATATCAAAAAAATAAAAAAAAAATAAAATTGAAATATCAATTTTCTAAATAATATTATTGTATAAAAAGCAATTATATTTCTTTATTTATTTTTTTTTTTTTTTTTGCTTCTCATTTTACTTTGAATGAACATTTTAAAAAAGAAAAATAATATGTAACAAAGTTGATATACATGTATGTTAACATTATAAATTTAAGTATCACACAAAATACTTATAGGTGCTTATATAGAAAATTTTAGAAAATTCCAAAAGGGTGTATGATGTTTACGTACTGACACACATACTTATATAAAAACATATGTCATTAAACAAATTGCATATTTTAATAAAGAAAACAATAAAGAAAAGAAAAGAGAAGAGAAAATAAAATTTGCATTTATGAGTACAATTTTTTTTTGCAAATACATTTGTAAATAATTGTTATTATGGTATATTATGATATTTACAAATATATATTTATACATATATATATATATCGTATTATGATTTATGAGTATTAGAGTAGAGAAGTGTGTGACAAATATAATGGTGACATAATATATTAATATTATGTAAATAAATATATGTATATGTAAATATAAAGTACTTGCAATTGCAAGTATTCCAATTGAGTAAAAATGAGTAAGTTTCGTTTCTCAAAATCCATTAAATATACTAACAAAGGGTATACATACAAATACCACATAACTCAAGAGAATAAATTTAATAATAATCTACAATTATATGTAGTTTACCTTATCAGACTGTAGTCTATAATACAAAAATTCCTGCTTCATTTCTCTAATTTTCTGCTTCAACTGTAATAAAATAATGTGAAACATCTATTTTTCTTTATCAGTTTTCTTATCCGCTTACTGATTTGACTATTATAGTTTAATATTTTTCTTTTTTCTCTTGTTTTTATTTTTTTCAGAGTTTATTCTTTTATCTGATCATATGCATGTCATTATTATTGTAGGAGCACTTTATCAAAATGCTTCTTCAATTTTATTTTTTTTTCATTATAATTATTTTGTTTTTATATTTTATTTTCTTCTTTCTATTTTTTTTGTGTTCTTTCATTCTTTTCTCGCTGCTTATGGTGTTGTACTTTTTTACATTTTCATCTAGCTGTATAATTTTCTCTTTCTTTATTTTATTTATATTTTGTTATTATTTACGTAATAAATGTACATTACTTATTTCTTTTAGCTTAAATTTTATTGAAATTGGAGAATATTTTGTTATTTTTTTTTTTTTTTGTTAAATTTTTCTATTAATTTCTCTTATTTAAGAATTTTGATAACACATAAATATTTTTACTTATTCTCTCTGAAATTTTATATGAGTATGTATATATGTATTATTTACTATAAATATGCATATATACAAATGTGTATTCATTACACATACTCATTAAGTTGTAATTATTAGTCAGTGTAAAAAAAACTAATAACTAGGTATGCAGTGTGGTTCGAAACTATAGTGTTAAAGCTCTCGGGAAGTTATTCTTTGAAGTTTTTTATAAAAAAATAAAATGTTTATGTTAATGTTTTTGAACAATATTAAAAATATAGTATTAAAGTTTTTATAAGTTTTGTTTATTTTTCTAGTAATTAGCAAAATAAAATCAAGTTTTTACTTTCAAGTAAAGTAAATTCAAGAATTTTCTATAAAGCTGTATAGTGTTTTTTTCCGGTACCTAAAAAATTTCTTACATAAATTGAGCTAATTTTTTTTAAAGTGGCACTTATAAATCCATTTTTTAAAAAGACTAATTTAATGGTAATTTCGATGAACCATAGATACCCTCTCTCTATATAGTTACAATCACAATAAAGTTCTATTTAGATATATAAAATAGACAAATTATGTTATTATTAAAATAAATAAATTAAAATTGATTCAAACACAGACCCTTAAATA